CCTATTTTTGTAATTATTGGAAAAACTACAATAAAACTTAACAGTTGTTGTTAAGCAGTTAATTAATTAATCTAAAATCTAATCTTCTGAACCTAAAGGATACTGGATAAACTAGAAATGTATAAAGCTCTTAAAAGGTCTGAAATTCTATTTTTGTATTTGTCCTGCATGTGTCTTAATCATTGTTTCATTCAGTTCAGTTCTATTATTGTAGATCTGTGTTTTAGCTGAAGGGCTTTGTTTGCAAGATGCAAAAACTTTAAAAACATTTTTATTGTAAAGTTTAAAAAGACATCCATTCTACTTTCCAAAGCGTTAATGTTTTACGATCTTCTCGCCAACACCAGGCCCTGGGTGTGTGCAATCAAAGCGACCGCTCTGTACTCAAGAAAAAGCTGAAGGAGATGAAGAAGAGGGAGGATAAGGAGCAGAGGAAAATGGAGAAGAGGCAGAAGGAGGAGAAACCCAAAGACAAGGACACGGTTTCAGACAAAGAGAATGATGGCAAAGATAAAGCGAAGGCCGCGATGGACGCTGCAGTGAAAGACATGAGATGCGGTGTAAAAACGGTGAGAACTGAGTCACTACTATGAATGAGGATGCACTACCAGCAGGGGACGTGTTTTTACTCTGACCATTTTTCTGTTTAATGGGAATGGAACAGTGGTTTTCAATGATTCAATGATGAATTACCCGGTGACACTAAATCCTCTCAGAGCAATTAGGTGTTTGTTTGTTTTTTATCAGTGTAGAAATTTCAGTTTTAATGTTTTTATTAACTTTATATTATCTTCAGATAATCTTAATATTTAACAATGTGCTGATTTTAAAGCACTCGGGTATTTGTGTAAATGTTTTTTATGTAATAAATAATGATCTTAAATATCCAGCTGTTGTGAGTGTATGTGCATGCGTGCGGTCTATTAAAACTGTTAAAATATTTGTGAAGTAACCGGCTCTATTAAGACAAAGACATCATGTCCTCACAATATATAGTCAAAATTCGACTGAATTGAGGGCGAATTCTGATTGGTCACTGTAGCCTGGTGACTAAGTTGCTCGTCAGTCTGAAATGCTTTGAAGGTGATGTGCTGTGGACCAAAATCTACACATTTTACTAGCAATATTCTGTTGCCATTTACAAGGAAGAACTAGACATTTTAACGTGTGTTTGGACACTCGTTGAAACAAATGTAACAAAGTCATTGAACAATAAATACACACATGAAGTTTTTTGGGGGAAAAAATGTACAAAAAGTCTGTCTCCCATGCCCCTGATAACACTGTATAATCATTGACAAACTGCAGGGCTTTAACAGAAAGCAGTAGGGGTGCAGAACCGTTTTGCACCAATTCTCTAGTTTAGATATTTACAGTCCAAGCTGTGCAAATACAGTAGAATTTATAAAAAAAAAATTGCTTGCAGTCAGATTTCATTGGTGTTTAAGAATATAATTCTTTTTCACGCCAGGTCGTCATCCATGGTTTCTTGATGAGGTTTTCCCTGTCACTGTTCCTGGTGTTTTTTCTCTGTTCTCGCTTGATCCAAACTGCGTCGTAACTGGGAACCTTGTCTTCATGTTTGGCATGCTTAAAAAATCCACACTGTGAAGAAGACAGTAAACAATTTTAATGTTTTTGGATGTTTGTTTTTTGTTTTACTTTTGAGGAGTTAGAAAGTAAGCAAAATTAAAGTGAGACATTTTTAGATGATTGGTCGTTATCACAGAGCAAAAACGGAGACAGTGATTCAAAATAGTCCACAAAGCAAAGTTACCAAGCAAAGAACATTGAACAGTGGCAAAGCAGCTCCGGAAGTCCTAAAGGTTTGAATAATCAACCAATCGACCTCCCTCACCATGCAGTTGAAAAAAGTCCAAGTGTTACGTGTAATAAATAGCATCCCATCATAGTGAGGAAATCATCTGCAGCCCTTTTTAATATCAACTCAAGGGGGGAAAGTGCTTCTGCAGCAGAAGGATCAGAAAGAGAAGTTTCAGGCCAGGAATTTTTACCCTCTCTCTGTTATGCATTTGACGTAAGCGTCTTTTTTTCTGGTGGGTCCTCTTTATTCTTTTTTCCAAAGACTCCGCACTGAGGAGAGGCAGAGAGTTAGAAAAAGTCTGGGTTTAACTCCGACGTGACTTCAACCTGCAACTGGAACCTTCCAGACTGAAGTAGAAGTTTATATGGATTATGCACATG